CATTCAAAAATTATGAATTTTGTATCTTTAAAAAATTATCAATTAATTAAAAGTTTTGAATAACCACTAACTTCGCCGTCCTTCATACATCTCCGAGCTCCTTCAATTTAAATCCTCTGTCCACTCCCGCAATACCCGTTCCCGGTCCTCAGATCTATATAGCATTTCCAAGTCAATTCAACCTTTTCCAAATCAAATTCAACCTTTTCCAAGTCAAATTCAACCTTTTCCATTTCAAATTCAACCTTTCCTAAGTCAAATTCAACCTTTTCCATTTCAAATTCAACTTTCGAATTTTTGTCAATTTTCGATTTTTTTCGAAATGAAGGCCACTTACTATATTATCGAAGGCATAGCTTTTGAAAAATACAAAAAAAACATTTGATAACGCGGTTGCATATCCATTTATTTTAACATTTTAGATTTTTTCAGTGTGATATTTCTATGTCATTTCCAAGTCAAATTCAACCTTTTCCAAGTCAAATTCAACCTTTTCCAGATCAAATTAAACTTTTTCCAAGTCAAATTCAACCATTTCCATTTCAAATTAAACCTTTTCCAATTCAAATTCAACCGTTTTCATTTCAAATTAATGTTTTAATTTTTTGTAAATCTTATTTTTTTTTTAAATAATGGCCATCCCCTCCCTCCCTCCAATATGAAAGTCTATTATTATGCTATCGTAAGTAGAATTTTCACTTACGGATATCGATTTATTGTACCTATTCGGATCTATTAGGGAATAGTATTATGCTGTCCTGTACCTAGTTTTGAAAATAACCCCCATTTTAAGATTAACTGACTCCGTTTCGAATCATTTAAGTTTTTTTGACTTATTCGATATAAGGGTGTATTTTTATGTTTCCCGATCAGTAAATTTTGAAAATGACATCCATTTTATGTTTACGTCACTGTGTTTTGACTTATTTAAGTTTTTAGAATTTATCCAATATAAAGGTCTACTTTTATGTTTCTGGAGCCGTAGATTTTGAAAACGACCTCCATTTTAAGATTAGGCCACCGCGTTTCGACTTATTTGAGTTTTTCGGATTTTTTCATATGAGGGTGTATTCTTATGTTTCCGGAGCAGTAGATTTTGAAAACGACCTCCATTTTAAGATTAGGCCACCGCTTTTCTATTTATTTGAGTTTTTCGGATTTTTTTCATATGAGGATGTATTCTTATGTTTACGGAGCCGTAGATTTTGAAAACGACCTCCATTTTAAGATTAGGCCACCGCATTTCGATTTCTTTAAGTGTTTCGAATTTTTATCATAAAAGAGTGTATTCTTATGTTTCCGGAGTCGTAGATTTTGAAAATGACCTCCATTTTAAGATTACGCCACTCCGTTTCGATTTCTTTGAGTTTTTCGAATTTATCCAATTTAATGGTCTACTTATATGATGCCGGAGCCTTAGTTTTTAAAACGACTTACATTTTAAGATTAGGCCACTGTGTTTCGGTTTTTTTAAGTGTTTTTGATTTTTCCTTCGAATAAAAAACAAAATACGAAGGATTAATTTATTTTTCAATAAATAAATAAAAATATCTAATCAAAATAAATAAAATATGTATTGTCTCATTTTTAATTTAATTTTAGTTATCTTTTTTAATGTTGTGATCTCCTATCATAAAATTATAAGATTTCGAACAATTAGCTAAAAAATCTGAATACGGAAGGTTAAATTTATTACCAGCTGCTTTTCGGCTTTTTAGTTTGTATTCTGTGGTTAATTTAACTTTAGCTTCATAATATTTATTTATTTATTCATACTCGAAAACATATTGATGAAACTTTGTATTGAAAAAATCCAAAATGAAGCCTAATTATTCGAGATGCAGCGGCTTAATCATAAAATGGAGCTTAAATGTTAGCTAAATTTAAATATTAAAGATTAGAAAAATTTCAATACGTCTCGGATAACATATAAGTAGATCCTTATACCGAAAAAGTAAAAAAAAAAAACTTTTATAATCCAAAACACAGTGGCATAAACTTGAAATTCGGTCATTTACAAAATGGGGGAAATCTACTGCTCCAGAAATATAAAATTAAACCTTTATACTTCCTAAATTCTAAAAACTTAATTAAGTTGAAACGCAGTGGCGTAATAATAAAATAGAGGTCATTTTCAGAATCTACGGTTCCGAAAACATAAAAGTAGACCTTTAAATTAGATAAATTCGAAAAACATAAATAAGTCAAAATGCAATGCCGTAATCATGAAATGGAGGTTATTTTCAAAATCTACGGCTCATGAAACATAAAAGTAGACGTTAATATTGGATAAATTCGAAAAACATAAATAAGTCAAAACGCAGCGGCGTAATCATAAAATGGAGGTCATTTTCAAAATCTACAGCTCCGGAAAAATAAAAATACACCCTTACATCGAATAAATCAAAAAAACTTAAATAAGTCGAAACGCAGTGGCGTAATCTTAAAATGGAGGTCATTTTCAATATCTACAGCTCCGGAAACATAAAAATACACCCTTACATCGAATAAATAAAAAAAACTTAAATAAGTCGAAACGCGGTGGTCTAATCTTAAAATGGAGGTCATTTTCAAAATCTACAGCTCCGGAAACATAAAAATACACCCTCATATGAAAAATATCCGAAAAACTGAAATAAGTCGAAACGCGGTGGCCTTATCTTGAAATGGAGGTCGTTTTCAAAATCTACGGCTTCAGAAACATAAAAGTAGACCTTTATATTGGATAAATTCTAAAAACTTAAATAAATCAAAACTCAGTGGCGTAAACATAAAATGGGTGTCATTTTCAAAATTTACTGATCGGGAAACATAAAATTACACCCTTATATCGAATAATTCAAAAAAACTTAAATAATTCGAAACTCAGTCACGTAATCTTAAAAAGGAGGTTATTTTCAAAAACTACTCATACGATAACAGACCCACACATCGAAAAATTAAAGACAATTAAATAAATAAAAAAAGGTTGAATTTGAAATGGAAAAGGTTGAATTTGAAATGGAAAAGGTTGAATTCGACTTGGAAAAAGTTTAATTTGATTTGGAAAAGGTTGAATTTGACTTGGAAAAGGTTGAAATTGACTTGGAAATGCTATATATTGGCCCACCGAACCGCTGCATTCGATAAATCTTTTATTATTCGATCCTCTTCCCTATGGAACTCCATCCCTCCCCACATCCGTCAATCCAAAACCCTTCCCACCTTTAAATCTCAACTGTTTAATCATTTTTTATCCGTCCAGTCCTCATAAAATTGTAAATAGTTACTACTGTAAATATGTATATAAATTATTGGATCGTTCTTTATTATTTTTACTTTATGTTTATTTTCAATTTTTTATTTTTTATTATTAACAGATGTAAATTAGAGAGTAACTTATAATTTCTCTTATTATTTTTTTCATTTATCTATTTTTTTTTTACTATTTAATCAAACTATATTTTTGTTTAGGCATCTCTGATGCTCCTTAGCCCGCATTTTTGTCTCTCTGTATTATTCTAAAGGGACTCGTCCCAGATTAAATAAAGCATTATTATTATTATTCCTATTATTATTAACTAAACAAAAGTTATTAACTACCCTAAGTTTATTGCAAAACGTCACTAAGTACATTTTTGATGGAGCTACATTACATTCATTTACCTAGATATGTAATATATGTTGTTTTTTTAATATCTTCACCAAGATGTTCATCTCACTTTCTTCCATGCTTTTCTATTGGTCGATTTTTTTTTTTAGGATACTTCTTCAAAAATTTCCGAAGTGTTTCCTTTTGAATTTTAAGTGGTTCTAATATAAATATAGCCCCTTCATCTTTTTGACTCACAATGAAGTTGTGTCACAAAACACATATCGTATAGTAATATTAGACAAACTATGGCTTCAATTATTTTCGTTAGGGTGGGTCTTGTAAAGGGATTCACCTACAATATTCTTCTGCATGTTGGTAATAATGATATATTTTAGTTTACTTCTGCAGTCACATATCGGTATAAAACTCACCTCATTATTTACCCAAATTATTTAAATTATGTAAACTTTTGAGATCTATGCAGTCCGAAAGAAATTTGAACTTGAAAGTGGCTTTTTATGTTTAAGAGCACTCCTTTATGAAATCAATATTTATTGAACTGGAGCTTTTAAAATTTTTCCTTTTATTCTATATTTGATCCAGAATCTGATAATCGCATATCATTACTATTGCCATTTTTCATCATGAATAAAATAATTCTTCAGCATAGAAATTAATATTTTTTCAAAGTTGTGAAATATGAATAGAAAAATGTAGCTATAATACAACCATGTATCAAACCAATTATCCTAGTAAAACCATATATTACTGACAAGAGAATGATAGTATCTATAAAATGGTAACAGAAAAATTGGTGGGATTTTAAGTTTATAGAATTTTATTACAGTTTAAATTTATATTTACAGTAAAATTAAATTGATTACACTAAAATACAATTTACGAGTTATATAAACAAATAAAAATGATACTAAAAATGGCGACACAGGCATTTCCTCTGTATCTATAATTTGTCCTAAAGGGACAAAAGTCCCAGGATAATTAAAATCTATTTTCATTATTTTCATTTCATTTATTGGGTCTTCATTTGTACACCATAAGATACGTGATTATATGATATGAAGAACGGGGTACTACTAAAAATAACCGTCTCTAAGGTCGTCCAGAAAAACTAAATGAAGACATATAGTGAATAATCAAAATTTAAAGGCTTATAAATTCAGCTTTAAGTGCAGATATCCCAGCTAATATGGTCGAATCAACTGGTGGCCTTGTTAGTAAAATACTGAAAATTAGGTATTATTTCTTCGACTGCCACAGCAGTCCTAGTCACACTATTACCATTTATCCAATCAAAGTTGATTTTTAAAAACACCAATTTTTTAAAGATCATATCTTGATATAATAAGTGAATAGGATGTAAATACTTTTAAAAAATGGGGCAAATGATGAACAGAACTTAACATATTTATTTACTATTATTTAGCTTCTGAATTTTTACAAACAATCCATTCTTAGCGCAAAGAACATTTATCCATGGATTTAGCTCAATCGGTTCCTTATTTAATGAGCTTGGTTCAAAACTGTACCTTTCCAACAATCTTGCCATAACAATTTTAATTTCGACCAGAGCGAATCTTTTTCCTGCAAAAAAAAAATCCATTAACTTTATATCAGGATTGATTAAAGTATTAAATCAATACAGAATAAATTAATCATTAAATATAGATATTGCTTATATCTAGTTCTCTTCTTACCGATGCAAATTCTAGGTCCATCACCAAAAGGTAAGTAAGTCCCACGTTGAGGATCTGAAGCAAATCGATCTGGATTGTACTTCGTAGGTTCTGGAAAGTATTTTGGATCTCGCTGAAGTGAATAGATTGGGATCACTATTTGTTCTCCCTTCTTAACGGAGGTACCATCTTGGAATTTGAAGTCCTTGGTGCACTCTCTGTTTAGGACACCAAGTGGCGGATACATCCTCAAGGTTTCTGAAAATTATAAAATATATTTTGGTACCATAATATAAAGAAAATTTTGGGACTTATATTATTCCATACAACTGTGAATATTTAGATTTTTCCATATTGTCAGTATTACTCTACTATCTTGAAGAAAGGAACTCATCAGAAGTTAATAAGTGATATTTTTATGAAATCGAAAAAATAGTTTTCTGTTTGAACTGATAATTGTAATGCAGTTATACAAATTCATTTTTGATGATTCAAAGTCACGTAATGCTTGGAAAATTTTCGGACAGACTAAGTTCTTCCTACTCTGTCTCAAGAGTAGCCGAGTAATCGGATCTTAAGAATTGCCTGATTTGGAATTTGAAGCAATTAGCAGTCCCAGAAGTTTTCTTCCATCATATTAAAATGTGTCGAACTATTACTATGTTAAAAAAAAGTACCTCATTGGATAAAATGGTGCAGCTTATGGGTTGAACTACCTGTAGAAAATACTGATAAGTTAATTATACCATTACAGTTGAATTAGCTGAAGATCACATGATAGGCAATGATATTGATCACTAATACAGTTAAATGCTTTTACACCATCATTTTCAACTAGGTATTTATTAAACCTTCGAAAATTTATAAGAAAAACATTCTATACCATTCTATACCACCCCTAACCACCCCTACGCATACAATCTCCTACAATTCAAATCATCTATCCACACCCTCTCCACAAGATCTCGTCCTTCTGACCTTTACACTCCTTTCCACAGATCTGCATCATTTAAACATTCCTTCGTTGTCCGTTCCACTGCATTCTGGAATTCCATCCCACTAAAAATCCGCCATGCACCATCCTTATCCACCTTTAAAACCCTCTTATTCCAATTCCTCTTCACAATCCAATCAGACGCTGGTTAAATACATACTATGTTATAAGGATTTAATTTTCTTTAGACATTATTTTTTTTCTCTTATTTTTTATTGTTTTATTCTGTGTTGAACGTGAATTTTCATCACCACTCACTAAGCATTGTGAGTAGATAAAATTTGTTTTTCTTAAGTTCTAATTTGTTATTCATGGAATTTATTTCAGTGAAATGTATTTTATTCCTAATTATCTTCAACATACTTCTCGCTATGTGTATATATATACTTTATTTTATTTTCTCTTCTCCTAATCTTTACGCATAATCACTTAAATATCTTAGGGAACATATGTATATCATTATTTGTTTTTTTATATATTTTTTTGTTTTAGTTTTTACAAATTCTTTTCCTACATATTAACAGTTATTATTATTTTTTTTAATTTTTATATTCCATCACTACAATGCTTCACCTATAAAATAGATTTTACTTTCCTTTCTAATTTCATGCAGTGATTATTATGCAATTATTTTAGTTCCAATATTGTAGTACTGAACCCCTATTACCCAACTGTCCTCGTTAATTTATCCTAAGAGCTAAATTAATACTTAATGTATTACATGTATTTTGGCATTATTCATTGTAATAAGTCTTTTGACCAGATTTGTAGTTAATATATATGAACAATACTGTTATTCTAATGGGACCTAGTCCCAGAATAAAGATGATTTTTCTATTCTATTCTATTCTATACATTTCAAAGTATGGTTAATGTTTTCAATTTGCGAAGGACAGTATAAGTTACAAGTGGATGTGTCACCACTTCGGCCATTTTCATACAAGGAAAACTTAACTGTGTCAAAATCAAAGAGGGACAAAATAGCTTACAAGAAGCAGCGTTTTGAGCACAGAAGTTAACAGATTGCAGGGACAAACCTAGTATCATTCTCAAACCTAGTTATTCATATGATTAGAAAAATATTTTGTAAGCATATTCAATACCTGAAATGCAGTTATCCAAGAACTTCAAATCTTTGAGGGCATCATAAGAAAACTGGCCATGTTTTTCTTTAACCGCTAAAACTTCTTGTCTAGCCCTTTCTTGGATTTCCGGATGTTGAGCTAGTTGATAAATGAGGTAATGTAAGGTCCTGGATGTTGTTTCAAAGCCAGCCACAAAGAAAACAAATGACTGAGCCATAAGCAGTCGGTCTGTTATTTCTAAAATAAAATAAAATATATTAGATATTTTCTATAAAATGTCAAAAACCAACTATGTAATATAATCGAATAAAATAAATAAACAAATGGACATAAGATAAATTAATCGTACTGAAGAATATTGAAGGATACCCTGAACAGAATCTGTTCAACAGATTAAGGAAGAAATAGTAAGAATTGAGATAAAAGAAGATGAATACCTAAATAGAGATAAATTCGGAGGTAAATTGAATAAAATAAAGATTTTTCGTGTAGAAAAAATAAATAAATAAATACACCATGAAAATGACTATGAAATTTAAAGTAAAATTAATTACAAATTGTCTGACAAGTAGGATCAGTGTATCTGCAAGCTTCCTCATCATTTATATCGGGTACATAATTAGCTACACTTCAAAATTAATGATTTTTGTTTGATAATGAAATATGTAGGAAGATCTATTTTTAAAAAATACAGTTGTCAAGGAAAATTAATTTGTACAGGATTAACCAAAAGAAGGAATTTAAATTCGAATACTGTACTGTATTTTTTTATTATTATTATTTTATTATTACTGGACTGTAATTTATTATTATTATACAGAGAGAACCTTCATCTTTGAGCCAAATCGGGCTACCCATTTTTGTAATATAAATGTGTTGAGGAAAATACGCAAGGGCATCCCTGAACGAAAGTTGTGGATATAAATTGAGAAATTAGAATGAGACCATCGATGTACCTATTCATTGATCCAGAGTTAACGTATAAAATCTATAAGTTTCCATTATGCGGTATGGAATAATAAATGGAAGTTTGTATAGAAAACCTGATTACTACTTGAAACAATGAGCCAACTGAAATTTTAAAAAAGAAATCAGGAAATCACTACGGAAATATTTAATGAGTCAGTTAATTTTTTCTTCATTGCAAACGCAAATTGCTTCCCTAGAGGATTAGATATTTAATCCTAGACTCGAAGAATGAGTTCTTTAGTTTTCAAAAATGTTTTTCTTAACCCCATACTTTTTCTCTTGTCAATTGTATATTCTATTATACATAAGAAAAATACTTCACTCTTAATAAATTTTGTTTAGTAAACTAAGCAATTCTTTTGACGTGGGTGATAAATATTCAGGACGCAGTCTTTTTTTTATTTATTTTTTTATTTTTGCCAACGTTTCAACCCTAACATGTGGGTCATCTTCAGGGCTGAAAATTTTTTTTAAAATTACAATCAGAGATATACGACCGGTAATTATAAATAATAAACTATAGTGATTGATGACACATGAATCTTAACTAATATTGTAATACACATATTAAAATAGTTATACAAACTAAAAATAAAAAATAATGTATATAACCATTTATATAAATTTGTAATATTTTCTCTTACTAACCATGGTTTGAGCACTGAGGTTGTTCATGTACTGACACATGTTTGGTAGGTAAGTAAAAAGGTCAGGGGGGGGGGGAGGATTTCCCACTTGTCCTTTTTCAGATATCAAAAGGTAAGTAAACAAGGTTAGAGGGGAAGGGAGGGTAACATTTGTTGTTTGTAGAATATACATAATTTGCTGACAAATATTTCAGACGTGTACAATATTTGAGTTATTTCATATGGTTACAGAAATGTGACTATTGACTAGTATTAAAATGAAAATAAGCAAAAGGTGCCAATTAATATAAATATAGCTTAGTTTGATAGCAAGTATACAAGGGTTAGATGAATAATTTTTATAATAAAGACAATTTCAATGTATGCAGATGATACTTAGGAAAACATATTATACAATATTTATCATAATATAAGTTTGTGTTATATTAAGGATTACATAGGCTATTGTTTCAGGAGGCGGAAAATATTTGAATATGTATTGCAGGTCTTTTCTTTGTCTACTTTATGGTTTACCGGAATTTTTTTTTCCAAATTAATGAATATAGATTCCGATAGTAGTCGTTTTTGGTGATTGGGAACTGTGGAGAAGTATGGTTGGGTTTTCGAAATCAAATGTGTGGTTTAGGGTTATGGCGTGTTCCGCTAGTTTTGAGGCAAACGGGTTTCGTGTGGAGATGCTATATTTGTGTTGATAGATTCGTTTTTTCAAATAGTTTTTGGTTTCTCCTATATAAGAAGAATTACAGTTTGGGCTAGTTTGCCAAAACGTTGGCAAAAATAAAATAAAAAAATTTAAAAAAGACTGCATCCTGAATATTTATCACCCATGATATGTAGAACAGTTGACTAACTTCCTTCAACAATTCTTTTTACCTTTAAATGCCTCCTCTTAAAATATGAAATCCCCATTTTTTGTCAAGAAAAAACACGAACATTTTTTCCCACATTTTATTTTTAAAAACGGTTATTGGTACTTATTATGATTATTGGTACAAAAAAAGTTACTCATTTGTACATATCGCAGTAAGGTTATACATTGGTGATGAAGGCCACAATACATTTTTTTTTATATTTTACGCTTGCTATTCATATTTACGAGTAAATACAAATTACGCACATTTATTTGAATAATTTCAAATTTTCAAGAATTATGGAACTAAATATTAATTAGTTGTAGTGATTGATTAATAAATATCATCTCCAAAAGCTCACGGAGACCACATTCGGCCACGAGTCCGCAGATTCCCCACTTTCATAGGTGTATGTATGTATGTATATATGTGTATATCAATTGGTTATAACACTTACCAAATTTTTCAATATCGTTATTTTGCTGACTTTTGTCTTCTTTTTCATCAACATCGTTAGCATCAATGTTCACAACATCCTTTTCCTTTAACTGAAGTAGGAGCTGCACGAAATCTCTTCGTTTTAACCCTGTTTTCCTCCTCCGTTCTAATACACTACTAATGGTTGAACAGAAGTACTCCTCGATAGCGGAAGGTAAAGATCGTACTTTGAACCACAGGAGTAGACGAGGCACAGAAAATCTCAGAAGGAAAGTTATTTGGGTCCGATTAATCGATGAAGTGTCGAAGAGGTCTTTACCCATTTGTCTCATCGGTGAGTTTGGGTTTTTTAAACTGTCGCCTTCAAGTCCAAAAGCACAAGATCCTGGAACAACATAATATGCATTAAAAAGTTAAAAAGTTCTCTTAATAATTATTAAATATTCGCATAATGGAATAAAATCCAGCGCCTCAAAGATTGATAGTACTTAAAAATTAACTTCTTTGTTTGATCCAATGAGCAATCAATTAGCTTTCTAAAGTTTTCATAACAATATTTTAGATCGTTAGGAAATGATTGATTAAATTAAGTTCCAATTGATTAAAAAAATACAACAAATACGCTAAGTATTATATCACACGGAAAAAATCACACGCTTCAGACGAAAAAAAATGTAGTCCTCTTAAAGGCAATTTTTACAGACAAATATACGAAAAATGGATGAAAATTAACAAAAAATACAACAAAACTGGCAATCTACTTCGTCCCCTATTTTCATCTTTAAATTCAGAGGGATCTTTAATGAATTTAAATTCCACCAATTGAGTATTTCAACTGAAAATGGAACTTAGAATACGATAAACAAACTAAACTTGAAACGTAAGGTGGAGGATGGGCCGCAATAAAACTTTTTTTGAAAAAGAAAAATATTTTTACTTTTCATAACGATGTACTGAAGGAAGCTTCCCTCTAGAATAAATTCTTCTTCTTCTTATTTCCGGTGATCTAACGTGGGATACCTCTTCAGGTCAGAGAAGAGCTCCACACATCTCTATCCTCCCAGTCACCCTCCTGTAGAACTCGGCCGGCCATCTCTTCTCGGACTCCTTCCATCCATGTGGTTCTCGGTCTTCCTCGCCTTCACTCTCTGGGTGGCTGCCAGTCCAGGACTCTGTTCGGCCAATGCTCTTCCGACATTCTCCTGCAGTGCCCATACCACCTCAATCACTGTTTCCCGATCCTCTAAGAGACGGTCTCCTCTACACCTATTCTATGTCTCACCACTTCATTTCGGACTCTGTTCAGCTGTAGATACCTTCTCCAAAAATCCATTTCTACAGTTCGAATTTTGGCATACAAGCCAGCATCGACCATGCCTCACATCCGTAGGTTAATATGGACTCGACAATAGCCGTGAAGATACGCCGCTTGTTCGCGTTTGAAATAGTGTCGTTCCAGAGAACAGGATGCAGCATTCTAGTTGCTTTTCTTGCCATCTCTACCTTGTTTCGGACATTCACTTCGGACGTCCTCACATCGTCCAGATAGGACCCGAGGTATTTAAATGCCTTTACTCTTCTACATACCTGTTCACCTATGCGTAGGTCGTCTTCCTCATCTACCAGTGCCATATACTCAGTCTTTTGGAGTAAATTAATGAAATTTATTCTATTCTTTTCAGTCGGCGCGATTCTTGGTCTCCTGTATCAGCCTCCAACAATAAGTGGAGGAACAATTATTGTTCCTATCTTGTCCAGCCGCCATCCAGCTCTTCACTCCATAAGACCGAGGTCTTCTATCAATGAGGATATGATCGATTTGGTTCAGTGTTGACCCGTCAGGTGTTTTCCATGTTTCCTTGTGGATTTTCTTTTGAGGGAAAAAGGTGTGTGAAATATTGTTTCCTTGCTTACTATTGCATTTAAGTCATCTGCGATGGTTTTCATTGTGGGTAGTCATCCACAGTTGTCTCCAAGAGTTCATGAAAAGCTTCTTTTTCATCTTTGCACAATTGAAATGAAATAATTATAAAATATTCCCTGCATCCTTATCACACAAATTCTTGGGCTTACAGCCCTGAATCCTATAACTTCTTGTCGATATCTTTTATCCTTTTATAAAAAATTAAAGTATGTAAGCGAGTGGCTACAATTGTTAGTTTTATGGTGTATCATTGATTATCTTAAATTAATCCACAAAGAAATGTAACATATTTTTACTTTCATACCTATACCAGGTAAGGAAAGTATTGCAATCGGGTCAAATTTCTGACAAGCGGTTTTTGACGGATCTGTACGTTTCAGAGCCCCCTGAGTCGGAAAAACACATTTTTAGCTATTGGTCTGTCTGTCTGTGCTAAGATTTTCTATTAAACTACTCAACCGATTTTGTTGTATCTTTTTTTATTTTGTAGGGTTTTGACTACTGATGCCTGTGACAGAAATTCGCCGTTTTCAGAAAAAATTCAGAAAAATAACTGAGTGAAAGTAAGAAAATCTGTTGCCCCCATCACACAATCTTCACTATTTCCTCTAATTTTAACAGAAATTATTGTTTGACTATACTAAGCTATGGCAACAACGTTTTGATCAGCAATATTAGAAAGTATTGAAATTTTTACACTGATCCACTAGCGGATCCAGGATTTAATTTTGAGGGAGGCTTCAGCCCGAAAGATTGTTTTTCATATACATATAACAATAATTAATTAGAAAAAAAAGAAAGAAATTAACTACCTATATGAAATGGTGTTTAAATGGTTCTTGAAGTCCTATTAAATGTAATTACACGAACAAGAATACTTTAAGAGATAGTTTTTTTTCTGTAAAACATGGTTATATTTTACCATTTGGGAGGACTTCAGGCCGAAAGCCCCTTCCCCCTCCCCGTAGATCCGCCTGTGCACTGATCTACCTTGAGCCGGTTTACATTGCTTTAGTTTATCAAATAAATCGTACTCAAATCTTATGTTTGATCAATTTTCAGGAAAATGTATCTTGTTCAATTCTTTTTGTTTCTTCATGAACATATGTAAAGATATAAAAACTTTTCTGAAATAGGTAGGAAAGCCGTGTTAGTGGACACACCAGATATTTTTTTATTTGCCATAGTAACGTTTTATTCCACTAACTGAAAACGTGGTTTTCGACTCATTTTAATAAAATTAAAAAAAAAAATTTGGGGTAATTTAAAACTCAGTATTATAAATATAAATCAATTGTAGTTTGACTCACCTATAACATCTGTAGCATATCTTGCCAGCTCATCTAGAACGTCTCGGTCCTTTCCATCTGCCAGTTTATCGAAGCATTCGACGAATGATTCTCCACATTTCTCCATCTCCTCGAACATCCACCGGAGTTTAACACCGCTAAAGATGGGGCTTAATTTATTCCTGAGGTACCGCCACTTGTTACCTCTCAAGAAGAATAGGTGAGCGTCAAGTGGATTAACTTTCTCGTCAACAAGGAAGTTCCTGTCGAAGAAGTGGTCAAATGAGGATATGAGTACTTGGTGTACGTATTCCGGATCACAAATCATCAGAAATGGTAGGACAGTCTGGAAAAAACCTCCTACAGGTTTGCCTTCTAATTGATTATATATTTCACCAAAGCTATCGACTGTAAAAAAAAGGACATAATTTATAAAAGAATGTTATCAAACTACGTTAATGTTATCACATTAATTTCAAGTCCTAAATGTTTATAGGTATACCTATGAAAAATAAACTGTCATTAATTCATTCAATGACGATTTATTATCATAAAAACAATCAACCTGAATGCAAAAAAAATAGATAATGACTTACCAATGTGTTTTCTAAACAAAACGCCCTGAGGCTCACTTCCAAGGGGGAACGTTGGTTCGACATAAGGAATGTTCCTATCTTTGAAGTGCCTAAAGGTCTTCTTGATCTTGTAGTAAGCTAGTGCCAACAAAGAGAAGGCTGCTATTGCGATATACATTAGCCAAGACATGTTTTAATGCTGCAATTAAAAACACCAATACATACTATAAATTACCTTAAACTAATAATTAATTTAATTAATAAAGAAAATAATAGATTCAATTTTCACTATGTATAAAAACGTCTGCAGAATAAGGTCAGTATTGCTTCCTCACAGTTTTCATTGGCTAAACAGTATCTGTATTTCAAAGAGTATAATTTAACGTATAAAACGTAATCTCTGAGAGAATCGTTTTCGGAAACACAGAAATTCCTTAACATTTGCAGGTTTGATAACAACGGACATCAGCGAATAATAAATGCGGAAGAGTTCCACATTTTCAGATCGCGTATTTCATGAATTGTGATTAAAAAAATATATATTCAGTACATACTAAAGATGTATGTCGCTACTGTTAGTTCCAAAGGTCATATGAAAAAATTGAGCGTTTTACAGGAGAATATAAAAATTAATTATTTCTTTATGATTTATTAGTATGATTTCATATTTTTTTCTTCTGTTTTTTTTCCATCAGTTGCATACTATGAAATGTCACCTCCAGCACCAATAGAAAATAAATGGAAAATTTGTACATACGACCATTTGCACAAACAGTAGCAATATATACTTAATAAGTATGTTTTCACTGGTCAAATGGATGGAACAAAAAATGCACTGGAAAAATTAAACTTTTTGTTTTCGCATTTAACGAGATTTATATTTTTATTCTGGTTGAACTTCAATATAAACAAACAAAATCACAAATAAGACTATTTTTACTTTCACTTAGGTATATATGCAATATATAGTAAGGGTAAGTATCGCGATCGAGAAAATTTTTGAATCTGAGTTTTAAAAATGGTCTGTGTGTTTGTATGTTAGCAGTCTAGCTCAAAAACGAAAAGTCCTACGAAACTGATATGAATTTTTTGAGATAGGTATATGCCTTAGATGTTACAGCAACTTTTTCCTTAAAATCGGCTAACCGGAAGTGCCACTTTATATCAACGCTGAAAAACATTTTCACAGTTTTCTCAAAAACGGCTCTAACGATTTTGATTAAGCTCGGTGTATCATTGTATAATTAAGTGGTCTTTAATATCAATTAGGTCTTATCCCCATTGATGTCACTTTATCAAATGGCACTACATCCCAATTATTTGAGACTTGGCCTGCTCCAGCCAGCATGGATCTCCAGTTCTCTTGGTTAGTTGCTGCAGCCTTCCAATTTCACCAAGTAGTCTACATGCATCAGCAGCCACATTAACAGTCCTTTGTTAATGTAGAAGCTTCCAGACATTCTATCTCCTATTTTTATAGACCCCGTTATATTTTTATAGAGCTCTTGAATTAATCTGACGAGGTTTCTCTTAAGAGGTGTGCTTTCCAAAGCTTTCCACAACTTCCCTAGAGGTACTGAATCGTAGGCCTTGTTTAAATCAACAAATACCATGTGGAGTTCACTGTCGAGGGCCACCTTCTTTTCTATAAGTTGTGTGAGATTAAAATGTGATCTTCCAGCTCGAAAACCCGCTTGTTCCCCGCTTTTTTAATTATTCGGCCGTATAATCTACTCAGCGGGCTGGTAACCGTAATACCTCTGTAATTGGAAACATTGAAATATCTGAGAAACTAAAATTCTGACTTTCATACTGTAAGCAAGAGAAATGTTCAGCATTTCATCCTCTTTGTAATGGCGTATGATTTAAAATTGTATCTTAACCCGACCCGAGAGAAAATGTTCTTAAAATATTTCTAAATTTTGAATTTTTTGATGGATTAAAAAAAAAACCCTAAACATTAAATCGAACTGTTTGAGCCGACAGACGAGCCTTTTCGTAATATCTAACAGGAGTACTATCAGTCTGTAAGGTACAACGGTTTTTTCGGTCCTTGCTTAGGGATAGCCATCGATGGTCGATGTTATCGAAATATCGATATTTTTCTCTACCACGCACTGCATTATACATGAAACAGGCAAGATAAGTAAATATGTTTTCTAACAGCCAGATTCATATATAATTTTTAGCGCTTTTCGTAAACGATGGTTTTAAATTAAAATATTGAAGGGACGATAACGACAGTCGATAATATCGAATCAGATTCTATCGATGGTAAAATATCGAATATCGGCAGGAAAATATCGATATTTCCATAATATCGACTATGGCCATCAATCTCTTGTTGGGGCGTTCAGCTAATAAAAGAATAATTAAAAAAACGCTGCAAATGATTCCACAATGGTTTATTATTTAAAGACAATTATACATCTAAAGTAACATTAGCTTCATAGTTACAAAGAAAAATAAATAAATAGGTGATTCCAATTATTGGACTAAACTTTTTTTTTAAATGGTAAATTTTATATCATTGGTAATATGCTTAAAAAATAGCATTACATCAGTAATATATTAAAATTTAAAAATCAAACAATGGATATAACATTTGGAGTAGAACCATATCTTTGCCCCTAATTGTCCGATTTTTTTTTGTTTTTCAGGAAATTTCATAAACTTTTAAAAAACCACCTACAAAAAAGTGTAAACGTTTCGAGTTATTCGGAATTTAATTTTACCATCCCTCGTAACTTTTTTTCCACCTTCTTTTGGTTGAAGTATATTATATAGATAAATTTATAGGGCGTCAAGAAAATAACTTTAGCGAAGTTTCATTGCAATCGGTACATTCGTTTAAGAGCTTTTACAGGTTTTTCGGCCGCCATTTTAAAAGTAAAAGGCGGATAGTAATGTCGATTAAGGAGGATCATCCTCGGGTGACCTCTGATTTTATATCAAAATTTGAAAAACATCGGTCCAGTAGTTTCGGAGAAAATGCGCGGACGGCGGACGTCGGACGGACAAAAAAATTGTTATTCCTTTTTCGAATTCTACGCCTCCTGAAACGTGAAACCTCAAATTTTGAGAGGGGGTTAAGTTTTTTAATTTTTCGGTCGATCACAATGGTTGATTATTGAAAATAATAAACCAATCCGTACATATATTACTACAGTAAGGCTCGAAATCGGTTTTGTACCAAATATAAACTCCTGTCATGCTCAAATACCAAGAATGGTGCCGTTGGATTCAGAATTTCACGGGGGGTTAGCGAATCGTATTCTCCACTTTTGTTTTTCTTTCTAAAATAAATAAAGTCGGTACAAACATTTTGCTAGACTTCGATACTGGAACGGTGGTAGGTTTGTAGATCGATACGGGACATATTAGATCTTAAAGATTTTGATGCGTACAGCAAGACCTGGTTCCTTCGGAAATATCGGATCCTACGTTTTTAAGCCGAAAAACGTACTATTTTCGAGATAACGCAAGGCATAGGGTTCGCATCCATACAACGTTACATTAATTGTAGTACTGTCATTGAATACATGTCTCATTTCGTCGACTTGAGGTCTCTATGATCGAGAGAGGAGGAGTTTATATTATTCATCGATGGTGTTTTTGATCGGCAAGCAATATCTCGTTAATTCTTCACCAAATCTCAAGATTGAGCCACTAATTTCGAAGGCTTCCTTCTCCTTCAGGCTGGCAAAATAGTCCAATCACCCACAAAATTCAGGCAAACAAGTTATGAAAAAAAAAAAACTTGCGAATTTGCGAATAACTGAAAAATTACACACTTTTCCCTTGGTTATTCCCATGATTATATAAAACATTACTAAATTGTTTACAAAAGGATAAAAGAACATCATCGAAAACGATTAGAAATTTTTCCAATATTTTTTATTTTTCATTTTATTATTTATTTTTTCGTTCATTATGAAAGTCCTATTATAGCCAATTTTATTTAAAAATAACTATGTATTTGGCATTTAGTTATATTATCAGTACGACGATGAAACAATTTGTACTGACCGAAGGACGAAAGTGGATTCAAATATTTTTTTAAGGGAAAATTTATTTGCGAATAACTGAAAAATTACACACTTTTCCCTTGGTTATGCCCATAATTATATAAAACGTTACTAAATTCCCTACAAAAGGAAAAAAAAATCATCGCAATCGGACAATTTTTAGCAAACAGCTTACTGAAATTTGTATACATGTTGGTTCCAAACAAAAATGAAGATTTAAATTAATTTTTGTTTGCTTTGTGGATTATATTTATCGATAAAGTAACATTTGATGTCTTAATCTTTTGATAAGTTGCATTTTCTTATTAATTTGGCATTTGATAACAATATGCTGTGCGAATTTTTCGCAAGGGCCTACTAGTAAATATAATTTATTTACTTTTATTCTGTTCTCTCATTAAATGAACACTCCCACGAACTGCTCTCCATTAAAATAATCTAGCCCAACGATAAGGGGCTGACGAGCAGCACACAACCTTGAAAAACGCTAAAATTGATGATAAAAAAGATAGAGTAGGGGAAAGAGTGAAAACTAACGAAACGCACGTCTACTCGATACTGCCTTGATTCGTAGAAACGTTTTCAATCAATAATTTGAAGGGGCTGTTGAGGAGCAAAAAATATTTACAGAAGAATACCAAACACCAATAAAAACGGTAGGAGTGTAAAAAAAAAAACTTGAGCTCTAAAATGCACTATTGTGAGAAAAATATCATGTAATTTTTATTAATGTTAATTTTAATTATATATAAATATGATTATTACTTTCACCTACATATGTAATATATAATAAGGGAAAATATTGCGATCGTGAGTTTTCAGCGGAAATACGCGTTTTGAGTCCAAATAACCAAGTGTCGTAAAATGGTCAGTGTGTGTGTGTGTGTGTGTGTTTGTGTCTGTGTGCATGTGTGTGAAAATTACGTATGTGAATACGAACGAATACGAAACTAAGAATACGTATTTAAGTTAGGTATATGTATGTTATGTTACAGCAACATTTATGTCAAAACCGGCAACCTGGAAGTAGCATTTAATATCATCGATTCATATCATATTTACGATTTTCTAAAAAATAGCTCAAACGATTTTGATTAAACTCGGTAAATCAACGTATATTAAATTGGTCTTTAGTATCAGGGAGGCATTATTTGCATTGATG